ATTTGGAAGGAGAAAAGGCCAGATGTGCAATTATAGACTGATTCTTGGGCTGTGGTCAATGGTTTGGCTTGTCAGGGACTTGGAAGGAACACGATTGGAAAATTGGAGACAAGGAGGTAGGAGGAAGAGGTATGTGGATAGACCTTTCTGAATGGACCAAAGAAGTGAAGATATTTGTGTCTCATGCGAATGCTCACCAAAGGGTGACCTCGGCAGAGGAGAATTTTAATAATCAAGTGGATAGGATTATGCATTCTGCGCAAAACAGTCATCCTTTTTCCCCAGCCACTCTTGTCACTGTGCAATGGGCTCATGAACAAAGTGGCCATGATGGCAGGGACAGAGGTTATACATGGGCTCAGCAACATGGATTTCCACTCACCAAGGCCAATTTGGCTTACAACCACCATGGAGTGCCCAATCCGCCAGTAGCAGAGACCAATACTGAATCCCCAACATGGCACAATTCCTCAAGGTGATCAGCCAGCAACCTGGTGGCAGGTTGATTACATTGGACTGCTTCCATCATGGAAAGGGCAGCATTTTCTACTTACTGGAACAGACACTTACTCTGGATATGGATTTGCCTTCTCTGCACCCAATGCTTCTGCCAAAACTACCATCCGTGGTCTTACAGAATTCCTTAGCCACCATTATCTTAGTTATCTAGTGCTGCTACAACAGAAATACCACAAGTGGATGGCTTTAACAAAGAGAAATTTGTTTTCTCACAGTCTGGTAGGCTACAAGTCCAAATTCAGGGTGTCAGCTCCAGTGGAAGGCTTTCTCTCTCTGTCAGCTCTGGGGGGAGGTCCTTTTCATCAATCTTCCCCTGGACTAGGAGCTTCTCACCACAGAGACCCCAGGTCCAAAGGATGTGCTATTCTCTTGGCTCTTGTTTCTATGCGGTCCCCGTGTCTCTCTGCTCACTTCTCTCTTTTGTATCTCAAAAGTGATTGGCTCAAGACACAATCCAATCTTGTATATTTAGTCTTGCCTCATTAACATAACTGCCGCTAATCTCATCTCATTAACATCAAAGAGATAAGATTTACAACACATCAGATGACAAAATGGTGGACAACCACACAATACTAGGAATCATGGCCTAGCCAAGTTGATATTTTTGGGGGACACAGTGCAATCCATGACATCATGGTATCCCATCCAACAATGCCTCAGAATAAGAGACTCACTTCACAGCAAATGAAGTGTGGCAATGGGCCCATGCTCATGGAATTCACTGATCTTACCATGTTCCCCATCATCCTGAAGCAGCTGCCTTGATAGAATGATGGAATGGCTTTCTAAAGACACAATTATGGCACCAGCTAGATGGCAGTACCTTGCAGGGTTGGAGCAATGTTCTCCAGGAGGCTGTACATGCTCTAAACCAGCATCCAATATATGGCACTGTTTCTCCCATAGGTAGGATTCATGGGCCTAGGAATCAAGGGTAAAAATGGAAGTGGCACCACTCACCATTACCCCTAGTGACCCACTCACAAAATTTTTGCTTCCTGTCCCTGCAACCCTATGCTCTGCGGGTCTAGAGGTCTTAGTTCCAAAGGGAGGGATGCTCCCACCTGAAGGCACAACGCTGATTGCATTGAACTGGAAGTTAAGAATACCACTCAGCCACTTTGGGCTCCTTATGCCTCTGGATTAACAGGCAAGAGGGTAGTTACCATATTGGCCAGTGTGACTGATCTTGATTACCAAGAGGAAATCGGATTGATATTACATAATGGAGATAAAGAAGAGAATGTCTGGAATACAGAAGATTCCTTAGGACGTCTCTTAGTACCACTATGCCCTGTGATTAACGTTGATGGCAAACTACAGCAACCTAATTCCAACATGACTACTAATGGCCCAGACCCTTCAAGAATGAAGGTTTGGGTCACCCCGGGCAAAGAACCATGACCAGCTGTGATGCTTGCCGAGAGTAAAGAGACTACAGAATGGGTGGTGGAAGGTAGCTCTAAATACCAGCTAGAACCACGTGACTAGTTGTAAAATGAGGACTATAATTGTTATGTTTCTTCCTTGTATGTGTGCATCAAATATTTTTGTTTTCTTCACTTATAATACAAGATGTAAACAGGGCTAGTGTATTTTCAGTTGTGCGTGGGCTAGTTGTATCGTTAGGTGCAAGTATGACTCTATAATCGTCTTTATTCAGAGATTATGTGTGGTTTAAGGAGATGTGTATAGGTGCTAAGTTGACAAGAGTGGACTGTGATGGTTGTCAACTTGGCTGGGCCATGATTCTCAGTGGTTTGGCAGTTATGATATAGTTTGGCAGTTATAATGTAATCACCTCCATGATGAGATCTGCTATGAGCAGCCAATCAGTTGAAAGGGAGTTTCCTTGAGGTTGTGGCCTGCATCCAATATATATGGACTTCTTGGCAAAGCTCACTGGCTTTTGCTCTGCTCTGGATCCTGGTACTGCTTGAGTTTGCCACTCTTCCCATGCACAGTAATTATCTATAATCAATGCATTTGATGAATAAAAATTACCTAATAATTGCTTTTGTTTGCATTTTATTGTCACCAGAGTGGAATCTCTTATATATATTCAGTTTGTTTTTCATCTTCCCTCATTTGTCTTTTTATATATTGTAATGGATTGAATTGTGTCCCCAGAAAAATATGCTGAAGTTCTAGCCCCATGTACTTGTGAATATGTTACCCTGTTTGGAAATAGTTTTTCTTTTGTTATATTAATGAGGTCATATTGTAGTAAGATGGGTCCTAAATCTAATCCCTTCTGAGTCATGTCTTATAAGGGTGAGTAGGAGCCCTGGTGGCGCAGTGGTTAAATGCTAGGCTTGATAACCGAAAGGTCGGCAGTTGGAACCCACCAGCCACTCTCTGGGAGAAAGGTGCAGCAGTCTGTTTCCATAGACTTACAGCCTTTGAAACGCTATGAAGCAGTTCTACTCTGTCCTATAGGGTCATTATCAGTCTGAATTCATCTCAACAGCAATGGGTTTGGGTTTTGGTTTTACAGACACAGAGGCACATACAAAAGGGTAAGAACCATGTGAGGATCCATCTACTGGCCAAGGAGTTTCAGAAGCTGAATGAGACAAGGAAGGACTTTCCCCTAGAGCTGACACAGAAAGTACAGAGCCTTGCCAACACCCTAATTTGGTCTTGTAGCCTCCAAAACTGTGAGACAGTAATTTTCTGCTTTTTTAGTATATAAATATAGTAAATAAATAAAGCCACCTACTTGTGCTTTTTTTTAAGGCAGGAGTAGGAAACTAAGACACTTTTATCTTCATGTTTATAAGATCTTTATTCATTGAGGATATTATTTTTTAAACATATTTTCTCAATTTCTTTGCATATTAATTTTCTTTGATGATGAATGTAAATTTTACAATTTTACAGTCAAATCTGTTGATCTGTTCCTTTTTTATTTATGCTGTTGTAGAAAGTTCTTTCCCAGAGAAAACATAAATATTCAACATGCTCTCTTAGATTTCCGACAGGCTTTTTTACATGTATTCCTTTTATTTTTCTGGAATATATTCCACTAGGTTTTCCAACATAAAAATATTTTTCATTATTTCAATACTTTCCCCCTATGTTCAAGAATTTATAAAAGTGGAAGTTAAATTAGTGGGAAAATACATATAACTGTTAACAAATGATGTCATCCATCCTTGTGGGAAGAAAAACAGATCCCTACCTAATGTTATTCCTAAAAATGGATTCCACATCCAAAACCAAAAACCAAACCTGCTGCCGTTGAGTCAGTTCTGACTCATAGCAACCCTATAGAACAGAGCAGAACTGCCCCATAGGGTTTTCAAGGAGCGGCTGGTGGATTCGAACTGCTGACCTTTTGGTTAGCAGCCAAGCTCTTAACCACTGCACCATCAGGGCTCCGGATTTCACATGGATGTACCTATATTAGGAAAATATTTTTTTCAAGAAAATATGAACTCTGCAACTCTAGCCCTATGGATAAATACAAAGCAAATTATTTACCTCTGGACAATTTGGTAGCCTTGGACTAATGTGAAATGAATATGATCAAGAAACTCCTTATTATATTGACACAATATTTATATACTATTGCCTGCATCTTGGATTGTAAACCATTGCATGCAATGGTTAAGATCTTTTTTCTATTCATGCTAGTTTTTCTAAAGTTTTTGGTTATGTTTGATTGTCCTTACTAGGACTCAGCTATACCACAAGATTTTTATTTTAATAAAAAGGGGGCCATAAATTGAAATAAATAATAGTATAAAATACAGATTTTCAAACATTTGAGATTCCTAATAGAAATAATATTAATTTAGTGCTCGCTTCAGCAGCACATATACTAAAAAACTGGAACGATACAGAGAAGATTAGCACGGCCCCCACGCAAGGATGACATGCAAATTTCTGAAGCGTTCCATATTTTTTGGACCATGGGACCTAAAATGATACTCGTGAAGAGTGTGCTTCTTAGCTCAAGTAGATACATGAAACTAAATGGGCAGCTCCTGTCCAGAGGTGAGATGAGAAGGCAGAGAGGATCAGGAGCTGGTTGAATGGACATGGGAAATCCAGGGAGGAAAGGAGGAGTGCGTCACAGTATAGAGAAAGCACCTAGGGTCACATAACAATGTGTGTGTATACATTTTTGTATGAGAAACTAACTTGTAAACTTTCACTTTAAGCACAATGAAAAATAATATTAATTTATATAATATGGAGTCATAATAGGAAGAATAAAAAAGATAATTATAATGGTGATGGAGAGAAAATATAAAACTAAAGCATGAGATTCAAATCTTTTTTTTTTTTGTTTCCCCCAACATGCAAGTAAAACAGAAGTACTCCAACTATTGTATATAATGAGTTGTAAACATTTCACTAAAAACCAAAATAACCCGCTGAGCATGTATCAGGAAACCCTTCACTGTCCCTTCCAGCCAGCCCTGGAATGTAGCTCCTCTCTGCCCCTAGCACCACCCTCGTGGCATCACCTGATGTGGTACTCCCGAAAGCACTTGGCATGGACGCCCTTCTGGCACTTCTCACACCGGGTGTTGGTCTGAGAGTGGCAGAGGGCACACCGGGTCCTCTTGTCCTGGTGGATGATCCAATGGCCAATCATATCAAAGCGGCTCTCAGTTTCTAGCCGCCTGCTCCGCCTTCCTTGGGAGGATGTGTCAGCATTGCTCTCCAGATACACACAGGCAACGTATCTCCGGAAGGCAAGGAGGTCCACCTGGGCATCTTCACAGCAGATTCTGTGCAGCTGCCATGCATTGTTGAGAGCAGCATCAATGACGTAGCCAATGAAGCTCGAGTACCACTTCATGCCCCGGATCTTCACCTTGTACTTGGCGATATTCTGGTCCATGCGCCCAACACCCCTCACTTTCTCCTGGTACAGCCTCACCAGCGATGGCTGGTGGACCTGGGTCCGTGTCTTGGCAGCCCCCAAATAACGACTTGTGAGCCTCACAGGCTCTATGCCCACTGCATTGGAGCAGATGTTGACCACGTTGCTGTCATGCCAGCGGCACACAATGATCTCCTCACTCTCATCAACCTTGTAATCAAATGAACCCCTCTTCATCTTTTTCAGTTCTCTGGGATCTTTGAGGGGACATCTCTCGGTCCTGTACTCACGGATAGTTCCTGTGGCCTTCACCCCCTTTTTCCTCAAAATGGACATCAGTTTGACACTTGTAAAAACCTTGTCAAAAAATATGTGGTATGGCAGACAGCCTCGCTCCTGAAGTGCATCCACAAATTTTATCACCATGCTACCTCCTAAATCCAAACCTTTGTCTGGCTTGGTGAACAATGTGCCCTGCGAGGGCTCAAACCACACCAAATAGCCTCTGCTGGTTGTCCCACACCAGATCTTGTAACCAAGTCGGATGGGCTTTCCTGTGTGCAGCTGCTTGGATCCTCGGTGCCCAAAGTACTCACATGTGGACTCACCGAAGCTGTAAAACTCTTCTAAGGGCGCGTGCTTCTGGAAATTGCAGTTCATTCGGATAATGAGAGGCCTGACCTTGGCAAATCTATCACTTTCATTGAGTTCATTGTTATCTGAAAAATGCAAGTATGAGAAAATCAGTTCAAATCTGTCCCTTCTGATTGCATCAGCCACAAGGTGGTGATGTGAATCAGGAGATGTTTCCCAAAACATCCTTCTCCTTGGATAGGAGATATACCCACTTAAAATCAAAATGCCCAAAACACACTTCAATTCCTGGGCTGTGAGACCTAGGTTGACATTTTTTTGCCGAGCATAACGATTGGTTTCATTAACAATGAAATTAATTGTTCCTTCATCAAAAAATAATTCAAAGAGGCCTACAGGACTCAGTTCCTGACTTTTGAGATACTCAATATGAGGATCTGATGCTGTCCAACTGCCAAAGTCAGGTCGGAGATCTCTTTTGGTCCAAACCCGCTGAGGTTCGACTATGGTTTTCTGCCTCTTCTTTGCTGGCTGCAGCTCCAGGTCATCATTATCTTCCCCAGTACCAGAGTCCTCAGACACGACAGTGGCATGCAGCATGCTCCCCGGCAGGTGAGCACCACGCCGGCTGTCTTCATCACCTGAGTCCTCGTCAGTGAAGTCCCCTGCAGCATTCTCAGGTGGTGAGATGAAAATCTCTTCCCTGTCGTTGCTGAACTCTTCCTTCTCCAGAGCGTTCAGAACCTCGAGCAGCTTAGCAGACTTCACCTTCGAGCGGACACCTCTCCCAGCAACAGCACATCTGCAACAACAGGAAACAGGATAAGAGGCAAAGGCAGCCATCTCTGCACCACGCAGAGAAGCCAATTCCTCAGGAAAAAAAAAAGCTCTCAAGTACTAGCCAGTGAGGAGGGTATGCTCGTTGCAAAGCATCTTAGCTTGAGCAGCATCCCAGACCTTGCATCACTGGGCACACGTACCAGGTAAAGGAATTTTCCAGATAAACACAGATTAGTCTTTTAAGTGTGGGAATATTTCAATGATGGAGTCATTGTAAAGAGGTATTATATACTTCCATTTCTTCTTAAGGAGTCCCTGGGTGGTACAAATGGTTAACACGCTTGGCTGCTAAAAGAAAGGTTGGTGGTTTGCGTCCACCCAGAGGTGCCTCAGAAGAAAGATCTGGCAAGGTATTTCTGAAAAATCAGCCACTTAAAACCCTATGAAGCACAGTTCCATTCTCACACATATGAAGTCACCAAGAGTCAAAGTCAACTCAATGGCAATGGTTACCGGTTAACTGGTTTTCTTCTTAAATAGCGTTCTGAAATGACAACCGGAGTTCCCGCATGGTGCAAACAGTTAAGCGCTCAACTACTAGCCAAAAGGTTGGTGGTTTGAACTCACTCAGAGGCCTCAGGAGAAAAGTTTGATGATGTGCTTCCAAAAGGCCACATCCTTGAAAACCCTATGGGGCAGTTCTATTCTGCACAGGTGGGGTCACTATGAGTCAGAATCGACTCAATAGCAACTAACAACAACAAAAAAAAGATGATCGCCTCTAGTGATAACTCCAGATGCCCTATCATCACCACAGATAACAGTAACTGCCAACAGAAAGCCCTGGGCACTGGAGTGACACTCTACTGATATCCCGTTACTCAGTGGTCCAGCAGCTTTGCTTTCATGCTTCTGTCTTACCGATCTCTTTCCTTTCTCTCATTCCTTTGACAAATATGTTTCCCTCCCTTCCCAAGTTCTCAAACTCTCTCTACCTGAACTCTCACTACTCAAATTCAGGAGCTGAACAGATTCAGATAGATTTTCAGATAGCTCCTGCAATATCTGATATCTTACTACCTGCTAATTGCAATTCAGAAGCCAAACAGATATGGAGAACATGGAAACCCCTGCTATTTAAATTCTTGCCCTCTGAACATAAAAACCAAATGTATAGCGAGAGAGATTTTTATTTAATGAGCACCTACCATGAATGGGCAAACTCCACTCCCAGCCTGCACAGCATTTAGTTCTAATTGGAGGAGACAGACAACAGATCAGCACACTAGTAAACATACAGGATAATGTCAAGTAGCGATGAGTGCCATCCTGGATAAGGGACAAAGTGCGGCTGGGGGTGCTATTTCAGACAGGATGGTCAAGGAAAGTCTCACCAATAGGTTGGACTGACAGAGGTGAGGAAGTGAGCCCTGCAGACAGCTGGAGCTATGGTGTTCCAGGCAGACAGCTGCAGGCACAGACCCCTGGGGCTGAGGGTCTTGACATCTGGGGAAGTGCCAGTAGGCTAGTGAGGCTGCAGACACGGTGAGCATAGACATGGCAGTGAGGGGAGGAAATCTAAGCAGACATGTCAGGGACCTAAGCCCATGGAGGCATATGGGCAGGGCAGTGAGGCAGTCAGACCCAGTTTGTAAACAGATCACTCTGCTGTGAACACCCTGGCTGTTGCCTTGTGCCCACCTCTGGGCTTCAATCTCTACGAGAAGACCCTCTTGCCCAAAGGAAGGACACAGGCTTTATGACAACTATATCATGGTAGACCCTGCCCACAGACTTTGGAACTGAGGTGACAGTACAGATTCACTCAAGCATCACATGCTGGGTGTTGCAGTGCAGGAGGGCTGACCTGTGGGAGCGTTAGGTATTCATAAAGCTCTGCATAAGCCAGTAACAGAAACCAGCCTACAAGGGAGAAGAAACCAGAAGCCCTTCCCACTGGAGACCTCAGACTGAGACACTGTTCTTGGAGGACAAGCCCTAGTCATCTTCCCTTCCTCCCCTGGTCCCAGTCTCGACTAGTACCAATATGCCTCCTGAACCAGGGTTTCTGCCAGTCTCAATAGCCCACAGACCTTATAAATACCTTTTGCACTTGGCTATTCAAATACCGAGCATGGAAAAGCCTACAGGGACCAAGGAAGCCCCAAAGGCAACCATATGGGTTCTTGAAAGATGAAGAAAAGTAAATTACATTTTTTAGGTCAAGTGTAGATACTGATGCTACATGGCCACTCCTGTACCAAAGGTACCTCCCTGTCTACCTCAACTTGTGTCCCTTCTTCTCTGTTTTTCTCTCCTGGACAACAACTGCTCAGCATGATTCAAGGCTAAAAATGTCATCAACCTGGCCTTTTAGAAACATAGAGGAATAAATACTTCTATAAAGTATTTCATAGAACAGCAGTCCTACCTTGAGGTTGAAGCCATGATGAACTGGGAAGATTAGGTTGTCTTTACTCACAGAGTCTAAGAATCTGTAAGACAATGAAAGTCAATCTTAAAAATTTATATCTTAATAACCATGGTCTTCTTACCATTTAAGGAAAAAAAAATCTCCAACTTAAGATCTCCTTATTTTACATATTATTTATTTAACAATATTAACTTCCATTTGTTTCTGAGAGCCTGGAAATGACCTACACACCTTTGGGAGCTTGGTTAGGTCAGAGGTAGCAATGAAAATCAGAGGAAAATGGACAGAGTATCTCAGGAAATGTTGCCTGGTTGACTGACTGGCCAGAGTGGAAAAGAGAAAGCACCCCCATCTCACACCTCACACCAAAATACAGTCTAGAGCAGAATTTCTCATCTTGAGGACTACTGACATTTGGTACCAGAGAATTCTTTGCTATATGATGAGGTGGGAGGACGGGGGAGGGCTGTCCTGTGCACTGTAAGACGCTGAGCAGCATCCCTGGCCTCTATCCACTAGATGCCAGTAGCAACCCTTTTCCAACTGTGACAACCAAGAATGTCTAGATATTGACAGATGTCCCCCGGAGGCCACTCCCTCCACCCTATTGAGAACTACAGCCCTAAGGAACTACTGCATGTGTACACCAGGAAACATGAAGGAGAATGCCCCCTGCCGCACTGTTTATTTACAGGAGCAAAAAAACAAGAGACAGCCCAAACAGCCATCAACAGAATCGATGCAGTGGTAAACAATGGAGAGAGTGGATGAGAACTTCCACAGATGAACCTCAAAAACACACTGAGCAAACAAACAAGTCACAAAATACTTGACATATGATTTCATTTTACATGGACCAAAAAGTTAAGTAAAACTAAACAATATATTATCTGGAGATATATACATATTACATGGTAAAACTATAAAAAGCAGCGAAATGTTTAAGACGAACTTACAGAGACAGTGGTTACCTCTGAAGAGAAAAGACTCCACTGGGACAGACACACAGGGGGCTTCCAAGGTTTTGATAAGGTTCTATTTCTTAAACTAGGTGGGATATTCAAAATTGTTTCATTATTCTTTAAATTGTGTCTATGCATTTTATATATTTTTGCATACATATTTCACACATGCGCATACAAACAGGAAAATCGGCACTTGCAAAAAAAACATGTGAGTAAACACCATTGAGTTGGCCCAGTCAGGGCCCCATGACAGCAGGGAAGACTGCTGCTCTGCAGTGACAAGGGAGCGAGTGGCAGGCAGAGTTCTTTTCTGAGTTTCCAGAGCACACACATCTTGCACGGCTAGAGGAAGAAAATTAGAACACAGTAATGTGTCCTTCATGAAAAATCTCACAGAATCCTTATGGAATCATTTACCTTAATTTTTTCAAAGCCCGGCCAGCTCACATCCCAGCTTATCCATCCAGCACCTCTGATCACCCACCTCCTTCTCTGGGCTGCTTGATATCACACTTCCCTTGAGAAAAGCTTATCACCTGACCGGACTACAAGCTTCCAGTCCCCACAGGTCCTATGTAGGCTGTGGAGCCACAAGTTATAAGCTGTGACTTTGGGCAAGTCACTTATCTGCTCTGAGCCCTTGTTTCATGGCATCTACCCTCACAGGGTTGTTGAGAGGTTAACAAGAGTTAATGTGTGAAAGTACTCACAACAGGGCCTGGCCCTACAAGTGTATGCTATCGTTTCAGATCCATAACTCCTTACCCGCAGATCCAAAGGCCAAATACTCTCTAAAAACTGAAGGTTTTTTCAAAGTGTGCAACACACTCTTTTTGCAGCAAAACCTGAGCTCAACTGATCTGAGACTCTTTATAATCCGTATTTATACTATTCACTCTAGATATCCATACATTTTGCTGTAAAAATATTGTATATGCATAATGCGTACTTCAATATTACTTTAACAAAATTCAAACATTCTGACTTCTTACCCACATCAGGCCCAGGTTTGTCTCAGGGAGTATGACTCCTGTAACTATTCCACAGTCGCTCCACCCTTCAGCAGCTCATCACCTTTTCCTGGGCTATGCCCTAGTCTGGCCCTTGTCCACTCACCAAGAGCTGATAACAGCCCCTTAATTATTCATTGTAACACCAAGCTGTCCCCCCACAGCCTTCCGTGAACTTCCAGTGTCACAATCCAACCAGGCTCCAGAATAAGGTCAAGGCTACTCACAGCCTGATCCCCAGCTCCTCTCCCACCATCCTGGCCTTGTTTCGGGCCACCCTGTTCCCTAAAATATCATTCTCCACCCATCAAGGCTTCCTCTACCACAGCTTTTACCAGTCAGACAGAAACGACCCCTTTGCAAGCTGACCCCATGGCATGCCCCCTCGATGGCAGGGCTGGTGCAGGACTTATTCATCTTTGTATCCCCAGAAGCAAGCATGGATCCTGGCACACAGCAAGCACTCAATCCATGCTTGCTAAACTGAACTACACATGTGACAGAGCACATTGCCACACACCAGGGCACCCCACCCACCTCATCCTACAGTAGGCCTTTATAATCATTTCCACTTTTTTGCTTTGAGACAACTATTTAGAAAATAACCAGGAACTCTTCATATATGATTGATCCCAACCAAAGGCATGTTCCTAAAAATTCTCTGATACCCTGTAAAGGAAACGCCTGTCAGTAGATACTCCAATACAGTGGACTCAACCAGGATGGAGGTGGGTAACCAGGCAGTAAGGATGGCAGAAACTCATAGCTCCCTTTCAGTGGTCCTTGGTTCAGGCTTCCTAGGCCCTCCATTCTCTCACACATGGTCCCTCCCTCCTTCTTGCCATACCTAACTGAACCCACAGAGGAATGGGACATGGGTAACCAGTGCCCCTTCACGGCAAAGCAAATTTACAATGGGAAAAATGTCCAGACAGAGACTGTTGGGGAGTCATATTAAATACCTCATAACTT